GAAGGAGGAAGCTCTGAATTCCATCGACCCTTAACTTGTGACTGCTGGTGAGGATACACAGTTAGTCACTGCACTATTTATGACTTCTGCTGTTAATGTCTGACCTCTTGTGGACAATGAGGCGCACTGAGGTGAACGAAGTAACGAGCACGGTAATGAGCTGCTGCAGCCACTGCCACAGACTGTTGGCTTCAGCTTTTATTTACAGTGTGATAGTTTTTTTTTTTTTTTTTCCCCCCTCAGTGGTGGGAGCTGCATTTGCACCTCTATCTGGGCAAAATAGATATACATTTGCAGGGATTTGTTTTAAAGTGTGGTTGGGAACAGCTGCGGGAACTACTCATTTGAATAAACAAGCCTGATTTTGTACAAGGGGAAAAAGAAAGGCATAGTATACCTCAATTTCTACTAAAACACAGAAATAATCAAATACCACAGAGGTAAGGCATCTCTAAGTGTCTCTTAGAGCACGGTTTGAAGATTGTGGATTAGGATCTTACATTGCTTACCAAGGTTTTTGAATTGGGATAAATGTGTTGAACATTATGTGTGATGTGTATGGAAGACAGCAGATAAACAAAAATTAAGGAATGGCTAAAAACATTAATTGAATAATCCGATCAATATGCTTGAATTTTGAAATGCAGCACATGTAGACAATGATATTCCCTTAATTGCTTGTTTGTTTTTTTAAGTAAGCCTTTTTTTTTTCGATTGTGAATATTGCCAACACAACAGAACTGTGTGCAGTAGCATCACTTCACGGTTTAATGTTTAAAAGCCTTGTAAATTCACCCACATAAAATCTGTCTTTGGCAGATGAAAGGGAAGATTAAAATAAGTCAAATGCATTTTGCTCTGAGGAGCACTTGTTTTATCAGCATGGTGTACAGGGCGGTTTGCTTGCAAGCTAAACCATCTTGGTATCATATGGCCACTGCTGTAATTATCTGGATGCTTTGATGCACCTCCACGACCACAGTGCCTAGAGAGTGTGCTCAGAGTCTGAATGCTCCGAGTAGGTGACACTTGAAACGCACCGTATGAATATGAATTTTTGACTGTGCTCTGCATTTACAAATAGTAGGATTTGGTTCCAGGAAAGTCTCCAGTGATTGCCGTGCCAATCACTCTCAGTATTTGAACCAAGGGGAAAGGAATGAAATGCAAAAAAAAAGCACCTTTGCCTTTGTCTCTGGCTACATATATGAAGCATCAGTGTCTGCAGTTCATTTATTCTTGTTATTCTGGTGCAGGCAAAATATGTCAGACCCACAAATGACATGTATGCCAGCGTGAAGTAATATATGTTATGACTGTATGTAGTCAGGCCAAGAAGCAACAAAGTCCTATTTTATGAAAAATGTTGCTTCAAATCAGCCAACTTTGTGATCGGAGTCTTATTAAAGCCAGCTCACCTAAAGATAGAGGTATTATGTGAGTGCAACTTTTTCAAATCACTGTGGAAAATACTGCATACATATTGCTGGGCTTTGATTTATGGATTTACTATACTGTATAAATGGAATGAATATGTGGGAAAAAACACATAGCCAAGAAAATGGTTAAAATCCAACTGACAGCTAGTGAAGCTAAACCATTAGGTGGCAGCCCAGCACTTTTCTGCAGGGCTCAGGACCTCTTGGCTCCATGCTGTCCAGTCGTGACCTTTCGTTATACATTTTGAAGAAAATCTCAACTCATCACTGCACAGAGCTACTTGTGCATAATGCCGTCCACGAAGTTCTAATAACGGTCTAATATAGATCGAATTTTAATGAGGTGCAGTTTATAGATCAGATCTTTCGCTTTCTTGGGCCTTTCATCCGAAACAGTCTCTGCGGTCAGCAATTTGGGCACTGATGTAACAGGAAATACATATCAAAGAGAACTTTGAAGTCAAGTAACCGAACAGTAAATGCAAAAAGTGTGAAGGAATAAAGTCTTATTGTCAGTGACAACTCTGAAGGTCAGTAGTATTTCAATAACTCTATTGTAATGGTGTGCCAAGAGTAAAAGAAAAAAAAAAGTCAAATAAATGAATAAATAAATAAGAATGAATAAGAGTGAATTTAAAAATTACGGCCCACTATATTCCTGCAGGTTATACTGTAGCCTTGACTTCTGTGGGCAGCAAAATTTCACCGGGAGCTCACTGGAACTGCCTTGAGAATAATGTCACACCCTTGACTTGAATCACAGAAAAGTCCAATTGAACTTTCCTATGAACCTGCCTCTTCTAAAATCTTGATACTGAATGTTGTAGGGTAAGAAATGCATGAGATGTCTCAGTGCTCCTAGACACAGCTTGGCTGAATTCAGTGGTTTGCAGATTCTATATTCATGGGGGAGAAATACTCTTCTTAGCCCTTGTAGTTATATAGTTGTTGCCTCTTCCTCATCATGTGCTCAAGTGTCCTTAGTGAGCGCTGGATTTACGTCCTGATTGACTGTCTCCATAACAATCAAAGGGATGATTGGTTCATTTAAAAGTGTTTTGAAGAGCCTTGTGTCATGTCTCCTACTCTCTATACTACTGGGATCCTTCCAATCCTTTACAGTTACTGCTCAGTGGAATGTAGAAATATGTTGTACTGGACTTTTCCTCCTTCATAGTTATTGCATTTTTTGGATTTGTGACTCAAATCCCTTGCTCTATTTTGAGTGATTTATACATATGAATGAAGATTTATGCCTGTGAGCTCAATGTGCCAGTATTATCCAATCAAACTGGGCTGCTCACTGGCTCCTGAGATTGCATTAAAGTGTAATATCAATGCAGCAATCCCTGGGTTATTGCCACTTTGAAATACCCGGTACCTCCGATACTGTAGCCACGTGTTATGATCAGGGGGGGATCTGTCTATTTATGTGAGGTTTCATGGGAGATTGCTGTGGTAAATTAATCAGAAGTTGCCAGCCATGTTTAATTCATTTGATCAATGACTGGATGAAGCTGGGGGGAAAAAAAGAAAAGTGTCAGTGCATTGGGGTGACCACAAAGAAGTAAGGCACACAGAATAACCAGACAAGACCTAGAAATTTAATATTACTTATTTCCTGAAGTGTTCTCATCAGAGAAGACGCCGCTATCATTTTAATGCCTCACCTTAGGTTTCTTAAGTCTTCATAAACATAATTTATTATTCCAGCGGCTTGTAAAATTGTAGTTTATAATTTGATGACATTGAAGGCTATCCTGCAGAATGTTAGAAAATGGTGCCAAGAAAGAGAGGAGATTAATTCTTGGGTAGTATTCTGGCTCTGCAAAGTGGTGTGCGGGAAATCACATTCCATAACTTTTTCTTATTGTTCCTTCACAATTTATTAATGAAGGATTTTCAGTTTATTTGGGAAAAGAAGATTGCCTTGAACCCCAGTCTTTAAATTCTTCTGTTTAGTGTGCAAATACTATAAAGCCCCAAGGACCTGTAGTGTGCAAAACATTGAGAATAGTCTGCCTGAGAATCTATCCCCCTAGTGATTTACCGATGTTGACTGTCTATTCTAATCTGCTTGCTTTTTAAACTCTCTGTGTGGTTAAGCATTTAAAACGAGAAACTTCTTAGTCCTACATGAGACAGCAGCTTTGATGTCATGATCGCACTATTATTTTATGCAGCGACCCAGTGCTATAAGGGCTATTTCATGCAGTAATGATTTTTGTGAGGAGAAAAACCTGAACTGACATTGGCACATTTTTCCTTTTTTTCCCCACTCCCCTGTAGGAAAATGGCTTTCTTAGCCTGCAATTTATCCAATTACGGATTTACAGCAGTGCAAAGTCAACCATATGATACAGCCTAAGTCTATTTTTCAGCCTTTGGAGCAAATCCAATCATTCCAAATGGTTGCTGATGGTAATAATTGCAACAGCATCACATTGATCGAGTGGGTCCACGGGGTGGAAACAAACAAAGCACACTAAGAAAAGGAGATGGTGTTTTTTTGTGTGTGTGTGTGTGGGGGGGAGGTTTGTTATTATGGCCCTTGTAAAAAAAATAATACTGAGGCATTAAAAGATGGACTTTAGACTTTATCGGTTGCTGATAAAGAAAATGCACACACCAATGTCCCAACTTTATTTATTCAAGACTTGAACGTAAAGGTAAAGGGTTACTGCGCTTTCTAAGATCAGAAGGACTTATGGGAATGACACGGAAAATTTATAGATGATCCCCATGTAACAGCTAGGTACACGCATATCATAGTTCTTGGCTACTCTTTGTATCCTTATAGAACTTTATTAACAGTTTCAAACAACACCAATGATTAGTTTACAAAATGCTGAGTAATGAACTTCTAAGTAAGAATTCAATAAAGAACTAAACAAAAGGCACACAAGTCTAGTCAATGGCAGTACAATGACCAGCTAAACAGTTTACTCTAAAAAAAACCTGCTTAATGGAAACTAATTTGAAAAATCTTTCAGTCATCCTTTATAAAGTGTGTTATCCAGATCATTTCTAGACTGTTTCTGTATCTGTGTTTACTGTATGTTCCACAGCCCTGCCACAGATTGGCGATCTGTCCAGGGTGCAGCCTACCTCCAACCCTGTGACAGCTGGGGTGAGCTCCAGAGGCTTAATACTTAATTGTATACATGCTGGTGCTGAGAGCAGTATTAGAAAAGATGATTGAGTCATTGTGACTGTTATTGCTCTGCCGCAGAACAGCTTGCGGCGAGGCTTTTGGTTTTGGTGGTGTCAAAACCAGCATTTATTTTGCCACCTACTTGATAGATGTACTCTACAGCACTTGCTGAGTTTATCGTTATTCTGGCTGTTAATTCATATCGCTGCGAAGAATAACAGATCTCTCTTGTCCGTGCTTATTTTGGCTAAAGGAATGCCTTTTTTCTTGCACACGTAATCCTTTCCATTAATCTCAGCACGTCTCTTGTCACTCTTGCGTCACCTTTACCTTGTTCTCCATACCATACAGTCCCTATTCAGTTAAGCTCTGGAGAAATATTTCAATTCACAGTAATATGTGATAGCTTGCTCTGCTCGTATTCATATCATAATTACATCTTAACTGTTGAGCTCCGGTCCCATAGTTTGTGCTGCTGCACCTCTCAGCCACACTCACTGCACACCTTAAGCCTATATCCATGAACTGATGGTCATCTGCTTCTTATCGGTGCTACATAACATTTGGTGGAGAGAGATTATCTGCTCCAAGCCATTAATTTTTGAGAATTTAATATGCTTAAGTTAATAATTATCTGCTGCATAGCTGATGTGTCTCTGCCTGATGCTGCATATCAAGTGGCCCCAGTATTTAGATTTATCCATCTAAATTCATTACACACAGCTCCTTACTCCTTAGTTAACTCCTCTGGAGTTTTTTTGTATGGAAATTGTTTCTCAAAATGACTTCATAAGACGGCGATACACATGTGGGTCTGCTACCATTTTCACTCCTTACTTACTTACTAAGACACTTTGTAAGTACTTTTGGTTCATTTAAAAAGGTTTCTGAGAACACATCTCACACTTGTTGCCAAATTGCCATTTTAATGAAGGAAGTGCCATAAGATTTCTCGGAGCACTGTCCTTGTTGATGCTGATAATGAGCCATCTTCCAAGAAGGAACTGATCCAGCTTCATGCAAGGCTAACTTTAGAGGGCTATAACAGATAATCATATTCTCTTTCTGTCTGTGGCATCTTGTAGAGTTGCTTCTTATAAAATATTTTTAAGAATAGCAAATACTGTAGATATCCACTGAGATGGCCCCATTTTTCAGTAGGCAGTATTTAATAAGATGAGACTGTTCATGCTTACACTCGAATGCTAAACTTGGCAAGGATACAAATCATTTCAGTGGGACATGGGAATGCATTCCAAACAGCTGACAACCATTACACATAATGGCCCCTGCTAAGGGCAAGGTCTCAGATTCATTCTCATGTTAAGTGCCTTGTCTGAGTGACTGATAAGGATGCATTAAAGAAGAGGTTGTGATACATGTGACAAATGTTACTGGCAAGCCAGTGAAGAGGAAGTGTTGTAGTGCAGGTGTGAATGAGGGTAGATGTCAGGTAGATGTAATGAAAAGAGTGGGGGAGGCAGCAGTGGCGTGCCTTCTGTGTCTGTACCACGAGCCTGGCATGTGGGTCTAAATTATTCCATAGAGGGTCTGCACTCTCGAAACTGCTGATATGATAATGAGTCTAATCACTGAATTTTAAGAAGTTTTGCCATTGTTTAAAATGCATTGTATCCCTTGAAAAGCTTAGAATTCAAATTAATAGTGTTTAAAGTCAGTGTGTAATTACACAGATAGGGTTACTGATCGAATTATGTCCAATTGTTTTTTGGGATGTGGTTAGAATATATGAAGCCACAGTTAAACTCTGTATCTATGAGGAATGCCACTTATCACCTGTCTTACGACAATCAATATAAAACACTTGATGAAAGCTGTCCTTTTAATCTCTGCATGTCTTGAAGTCTTGTCTAGCTATTGCATTGTGGAAATTTGTGAGTCTTGATTGTGAAAACTTAAGGTCTCCAGCCTTAAAGCCACAAGGTCATAGCATGCAAGCAGCATATTTTACATTATATGACATATTTTACGTTCTGAGGCTTCGCACTTCCCTGGAAAAGGTTGTACTTTTTATTTGGCAGTGCAGGAGCTGGAGAGTGGGGGGAGATTGATTTAGTGTGCTTCAGGTACACGGGCTGCTTTTGTGTCTGGAGTTGCAATTTAGATTTAGAAGACAGAGCGGCTGCAATCAGGAAGAGGTGGTAATCAATTTTTCTTGTTTATGTGCACTTGTGTGTGTGTGTGTGTGTGTGT